TGTCAACCGATAGTCCTTGGGAAGATTTTCTCAATCCTGAACAATGAAACCAATAACTTCTTAGAACTGCCAAAACCACTCAGATAACACCCTTGAAGCACTCTCCCCCATGTCGGGGTTCATAAGGGCTCATCAAGTGATTGGCCCCCTTCCCTGGGGGTTGATATAGTTTGACAGCAAGGAGCAGCCCTCTCCCTATCTTCTGCTGACACTGGAGGAAGAAAAAAAAGAAAGAAAGAAAGAGAAAGGGAGGGAGGGAGAAAGAAAAGAAAGGAAAAGAAAAGAAAAGAAAAAAAAGAAAAGAAAAGAGAAGAAAAGAAAAGAAAAGAAAACATTAGTCTTACCCCCTTTCCTCTGTACCTGAGCCTGCCCCATCTAATTAGAGGGCCATGTGGGCGGGCATCTCTCCCAACCATGTAAACAATATTAAAAAGAAATTTAAAAGCAAAAACACATGAGCCAGGGCCCCAGCGCAGTAACCTAGTAGCTAAAGTCCTCGCCCTGCACACGCCAAGATCCCATATGGGTGCTGGTTCTAATCCCGGCAGACCTGCTTCCCATTCAGCTCCCTGTTTGTGGCCTGGGAAAGCAGGCCGCGCAAAGCCTCAGGACCCTGCACCCGCATGGGAGACCCAGAAGAAGCTCCCAGCTTCTGCCTTCAGATCAGCTCAGCTCCGGCCGTTGCAGCCACTTGGGGAGTGAATCAGCAGATAGAAAATCTGTCTCTCCTCTCTGTATAGCCGGCTTTCCAATAACAATAAATAAATCTTTTTTTTAAAGGCATGAGCCACACTAACAGCAAAATAAAGGGGACATTTATAGACTAAGTTTTCTGTCAATCCTATCTATTAATAATATCACAGCCCTGCTAATATTCCTCTAATACAACCTGCTTCTGCATTTGCCAGGCAGTATACAATTCTTGCTATGGCTATATCCTAAAGCCCAGAATGCAGAGGGCAGGGATCCATTCCATGGCTGGAGGGCCTGCCCCCATGCCCGTAGCCAACAGGATGGCTTCCACAGAGTCAGCTTTTCCCAGCCTGTCCAATCACTGTGATGGGCGGGGCTGAGAGGAATCTAGAAATCTCAGTAGGTTTTTACTGACCTTTCCTTATCTTCTAAAAGACAGCTTAAAAAAAAAAAAACAAACACCTGCTCACATGTTACAGAGCAGCTCCACATAAGCCAGCGGTGAAGCTGCTTCTTAAGCTGACACTATTGCTTTACAGAAAGACAGAGAGGCTCAGAGAGGAAGCAAGGACCAGCATATGTTGAAATGCAGGACCTTGAGCAAAGGCCTCAAGCCCCCCAATGTGTATTTATTACGGAACATAGACCAGAGATGCTTAGTTGAGTCACCAAAGACTTTAGCTCATCTGGCTTTGTAACAAATGATTTAAAATAGGGGTTCTGGGTATGAAAAGATCCATAAGTCTCCACATCACATCTTGCAGTCAAATATATACTTGGGGAATTATGACAAAATAGTACCTACAAATGTTTTCTTCTAAAGGGATAGTCTCTTTAGACTTGCCTCCTTACAAGAAGATTGGAACCAAAGACTGAAAATTGATATAATTTTCTAATCTTGGTGAAGAAATATTTTATTTGGCATCTTTTATCTAGTGGAAAACAGGATACCAACCACTTCTCATTAATGGTTGTTCCTTTGAAGCACTCCATCCCGCAGCTAAACTGTAAATTACACCTCCCATTCCCATGAAGCTCGAGGTTACAGGTGGAAAATGAAAAAAAAAAAAAAAAAAGAATAGTTGCCCTGATTAAAAAGCAACATTAAACCGGAGAATTCATTTAAGTGACTGCAGCTCTGAACTAAGCAAGCAGGAGCAAGCAGGTAACACTCTCAAAGACCCTTCCTTCAGTTCTCGAGCCATTCAGATCACTGTTTACCAGAAAGGCAAAGGTGCCTTTAAGAGTATTTTTAAATTTTTTTTGTCCTGCATCATCCAATTGCTCAAAGTCAGCACAAGGTGAAGCTCCCACAAGCATGTAGATTTTTAGCAAAATGAAGTGGGTTCCAAAAAATCCAAGGGTGTCAATAAATTTGCATTATTCTTCAAAAATGAAATTGCATCTCATACACACTCCTTAGAGGACTCCCTTTCTCTATCAGAAGTTATTCAAACTGTTCTGGGAGTTTGATGCAGCCCTCTATGGTCAGGGAAGTAGCACATGTCTTTAGTTGACCTTTATTACCATCAGTGTTGGAGGCACCGTGGTCCTGGATGTGCAGGCCTACCACAAATGCCTGGGGTTCTATTTCCCATGTATCCCTCTTCCTGAAGCCCACTCAGGTTTATCTAACTCCCAGGCACTGTGAAAACCAGCACCATGAGCCCTTATTGCCCTGTCTCAGGCAGAGTTCCCTTCTTTTCCTTCTGCAGCTTTGTGAGCAGATAGAAGGATCACTGACTATAAACAGGCAAGTCTTCTAGACTGCTAATGGTGAAACCCAGATGGTGAACAATGGGAACTCCCTAGAAAATTCTTTCAATTTTGCTGTATGTTTGAACTTAGCCCGGTGATACAAATCCTTCCCAAGACAGAGCAAATAATCTAGCCAGGAAACTTTCTTGGAACCCAAAAAGAAACTGTAGTGAGAGCATACTGCAGTAAACCTTCTCAGAACCCAAAAGGAAAATATAGTGAGAACAACACACAATTTGAAATCTCAATGAATTTTCCTACCAGATTTTTTGAAATAAAAGAACCAGGCATTATTGTCACTCTCTTTACTCGTTACCACTCATGTTTGAAATCTAATTGTTCACATACCACAATCACCTTTTTAAAATCACTCAAAACTATTTAGGAATGAAGCATCAGCTCACTCTCCTGATGTCTACAGCCAGGATGAAAAGGTGGACTCTTGGCTGTGAGACAGGCGTTCCAGATTGTAATGACCAACAACTCAAAGAAAGCAACAAGTAACTGCTGAGTTCTGAAAACACCTTATTGATTTTACTAGGACTTTATGAAAAAGATCTTAGCATTGGCTTGCATGTTAGAAAATTATGAGCTCCAGGCCCGGTACGGTGTCCTAGTGGCTAAAGTCCTTGCCTTGAACATGCCGGGATCCCATAAGGGCGCCGTTTCATGTCCCAGCAGATCTGCTTCCCATCCAGCTCCCTGCTTGTGACCTGGTAAAGCAGTCAAGGATGGCCCAAAGCCTTGGGACCCTGAACCCATGTGGGAGACCTGGAAGAAGTTCCAGGCTCCTGGCTTCAGATAGGTGTAGCACCAGCCATTGTGGCCACTTTGGGAGCGAATCACTGGACAGATCTTCCTCTCTGTCTCTCCTTCTCTCTGTATATCTGACTTTGCAGTAAAAATAAATAAATCTTTTAAAAAATGAAAAAGAAAATTATGAGCTCCAAAGTTACTTCTCACTCTTTTGTCTCTGATAAATAGCCACTGGAAAGCTCTGAACACAGAGTAAAAATCCAAAGTATCTGTCTGAATAAATAAAATCAAGTTTCTGCCACATCATGTAAAAAATAACTGGATGGATTTTCATCAACTTTGGAAGTTATTTCTTGAATTGTCTCATAAAATACATGCTGCGTGATTGTTGTGGTTGGAGTATGATTTGGTCTATGTAGTCAATCAAGACTCTAAATTCTTAAATCATAAAATATTGGGACTAAGAAGGTAGAAATTTAATCCACTTATGGTGTCTAGGAGGTGCTACTTCTCATGATAGAGTTGTTAGGAAAGCTTGAGTTTGGGACATGCCTCTCACTCTGCTTTCTGGCTCCCCATACATGATGCCTTCTCTGTGTGCACTTTACCATCCACCAATGGGACACAGTGCCAGAGTACAAGCCCATGCCTCCAAAACCGTGATGAACAGATTGCCTCAGGTATTTCATTATAGTAACAAAAAGCAATACAGTGGTATATGAAAAATACATATTAAAATATGCATCAGAGCCCCTTCCCCGTGACCTTTAGAGCCAATAAAACTGCAGTACAACCAGACACTGATGTCTCAGTGAGAAGGAAAACACCTGGGAAATATTGATTTCAACTCCAAGTCCATAGTCGGATTTTGTAAATACTGGACTACAAAATTCTCCCAAGATCCTCCATGATGAGTTGCAGCAAGGATTCAGTGATTTGTTTAAAGATGGTCAGCGATTCTCCTAAGTAGAGCCTGGAGGCAGCATGGTTAACAGGAAAAAAGAATTCACTAAGTATTTTATTTAATTTACTCTAATTCTCAGCTACATTCTTGTATTATGTTGTTAAATATAATCTGACCGCTTTATCAATATGTTATATTTATTAATTGTAACCTAGCCGCTTTACCGGTATTAAATGACCTCTTTTTTTTTTTTTTTCTAGGTTTCTCTTTTCTTTCCACGCCCCTTTTCCGCAGTGCAAGGGCGCCAAACGTGCAGACAGCACAAACAGTTCCGGTGCAGAGTGTTGCACGTGACGGCGCCAAAACAAATCATAAATGCAAATTACCTTTCCCAGCGTGTTGTGCGCTATGAAGAGGTGCCTTCTGGGAACTCGGGGCATTTTGCGTTGGCTGAACTGGAGTGACTGAGAAGACGGCAACAGCAGTGTGACTGGGTTGCTTCAGTCAGCAGCCGGCGGCACTGGTGGCCACAGTATCGCCACTTGAGCCCAACGCGCCCATTTTCTGTCCTGCAACATCGTGGTGAAAGCCAGGCAGCTGTAGCTGTCCAGCAACAAGCGGCCGAGCCTACTAACCGTGAGAGCCTCCTCCGTGTCGGCAGCCTCACAGAAAGGTACGTGAGCGAGTGACCGAGCAAGTGCTTGGCGGTAGATTGGGTGCCCTGGAGGGGGGAGGTTTAGGGCCCCCAAGACGCCAGGGAAAATTTCAGGCATCTGCTTCCTGCTGTACTGCTCCCCTCAACTTTGCCCCAGGAAGAAATTCGAGACCTCTTTGAGATCCTCTCAGAGGCATCAGGGTTTTTACCTCAGCTTCCATCTTGTTTTTCAGGATGGCAAGTTGCAGCGTGGACAAGCCCGAGTTGATTGTAGGAGGTGACTACAAACTGATAAAGAAGATCGGGGGTGGCTCCTTTGGGGAGATTTATCTGGCAGTCAGCCTCACCAACGGCAGGCAGTTGGCTGTGAAGCTGGAATCGCAGAACGTCACGTACCCCCAGTTGCCTGCGGAAAACAGGCTGTATGAGATCCTTCGGGGTGGGGTTGGCGTCCCCACCGTGCAGTGGTATGGCCAGGAGAAAGAGTATAACGCGCTGGTCATGGAACTTCTGGGACCTAACCTGGAGGATCTCTTCAGTTTTTGTTCCAAGAAGTTCTCAATGAAAACCATACTTATGTTAGCCGACGAGATGATCAGTAGAATCGAATACCTGCATGCAAAGAACTTTATCCACAGAGACATTAAGCCGGAAAATTTCCTCATGGGTACTGGCTGTTACTGTCCGAAGTGTTTGGAGATGCCCATCGGGACAGGTAATAGAACCATGACGACCCAGGATCCAACCCAAGATCAATTATACTTGATCGATTTCGGCTTAGTCAAACAGTACAGGGACGACATCACCAAGGAACACATACCCTACAAAGCTAATAAAAGCTTCACTGGCACTGCCCGTTACGCCAGCATTAACGCACAACGTGGCATTGAGCAGAGTCGCCGCGATGACCTGGAGGCGATAGGCTATATTTTGGTGTATTTTAATAGGGGTAGCCTGCCGTGGCAGGGAATCAAGGCTAGGACGAAGCAGCAGAGTTTTGAAAAGATACGTGAGATGAAGATAGCCACACCTATTGAAGTGCTGTGTCAGGGAGTTCCTGAAGAGTTTGCCATTTACCTAAACTACTGCCGTGAGCTGGGGTTCGACGAAACCCCTGATTACTGGTATCTGAGGCAGCTCTTCCGCAACCTTTTCAAGTCCCTGAACCTCGAGTTTGATCACACGTTTGATTGGACTCTGATAAGGGCGAAAGAGTTGCAGATAAAGTCTGCTGGCAATGACAGAAAACCTGCAGAAAGGGAAACTACTAAAAGCAAGTGTAACACGAAAGGTGTCTAAGCGTCACAGAGCAGATTATTGTTCCAGTTGTACTGCATGTGTTGCCGAACCAAGCACCCCAAAGGAGATTGGCAGAGCAGCAGTAGTTTTGTTTTGTTTCCTGCGTGAATGTTTTTACAAATGTAGAAGTTGAAGTTCTGGGATGCAATAGTAGCCAGCGTGATGTGTAGAACTTGATTTTATTAGAAATTCATCTTGGATCATATTGGGGGTGCTGTAGGTATTCCTAGTTGTAGCCACTGTATTTGGATTAAGTGAGATAGTGAAATGTGATATTTTCTGTTTTTGCTTTGTTTTTGTTTTTTTCAGTAGAAAAGGCAGCTAGGTTAACATAGAAGTTTGTAGGGAAATTGTGCCTATGCTAGTTTTGAGTTAAGCTCTTTTATTTTCAACTATACTGTTTTGATATGTCAGAAGAATGACGTGAACAGTCTTCAGCCACAGTTGTGACAATTGTTAAGTTCTCACGATTGTGAATTATTAGGGCTTTTCTACCTCTGACTGTTGAAAGTTATTCACTTAAAACATTCTTAAAATGCTTTTTAAAACTTCTTTAAAGTTTTTTTCTTTTGTTGTGGTGTTTTAGAAAGTTGTAAAGAGAGGGATAGGAAGGGAGAGAGAGAGATTGAGATATCGCCCATCTGTTTATTTCTCAGATGGACACAGCGGCCACAGATGAGCCAGGTTGAAGTCCAGAGGTTCATATGGGTCTCCCACGAGGGTGGCAGGGACCCAAACACTTGGGCCGCCTTCCCGCTGCTTTTGCCACACTATTATTTAGCAGGGTGCTGGATCTGAAATTAAGCTGTTGGGAAAGAAAACTGCACTTGACTGTATTACTGCTGAATTAGGATCTTTGTAGGTTTTTTTTTTGTTGTTGTTGTTCTCATTGTTGTTGTTGATCTCTTTATTTCTCTGGCACATTAATCCCTGAATCATAGTGTCCTTTATAGCTGTTACCTCAAAAATTAAAAAGGGAGAGGGCACAGGGGAGGAATGAGTTGGAAGAAGGGAATATCATTATGTTCTTAGAATTGTGTCTATGAACTACATTGAATCTGGTGTCTTTGTATTAATATTACATTAACATGGAAAAAGTGTCAAAATGAGAAAAAAAAAAAAGCTTAAAATTACCGAATAATGCTTAGGACTCCGTATTGAGCTTATAATGTTTTTGGTGTTTTAAAAATAAGTTTGTCACAGAATGTTGTAAACCTCTTACAGCTGAATATATATGTATGTTGTTTAAGTAAGTTTAATCACTGATGGTATTTATATCTGTTGTTTATAAGTTCATTAAAAACTAAAATCTGTCTTTGTAAAAAGAAATTTTATAGAAAATAAGAATTAAAGATAAGTTTGACATAAAATTTTAATTAGTTCATGTGTGGTTTTTTTGTGATATGCAATTTTCATGGATTTCTTTTAAAGATTTCTCATACTAAAATAAATAGAATATAGGGAAAATCAGTGGTGGGAGGGAGCTTGGGGAGATGGTTAGGAAAATCCCCGAGCCTATGGAACTATATCATAATATAATAATAATAATAAATGAAAAATAGAACTTGAAAAATATTTTAACTATTTTTAAATGTTCATCTAATTTTTCTGGGTTTTTCTTGCTTGCTTTTCTTTGCTAAGACGGTTAAAATTTTGTTTTGCTCAACTTAAAAAGTAGCTCTTTCTTGTTGCAATTTGTAGTTTTTTTAGTTTCAATTCCATTTATTTTTGTTCTGATTCCTATCATTTCTTGCTTCCTGTTCATATTTTCTTTTTCGATAAGTCCTGGAGATGCATTATTAGATAATTTGTTTGAGATATTTCTGTTTTTTGGAAGCACCTGATTTTTTAAATGATCCTCTAAATACTGTCTTTGCTACAGCTCATGGGTTTCAATATTTTTGTTTTTATTTCCATTTCTTCAAAATAAATTTTTCTTATTAATTTTCTCAGTGACACACATGTCATACAGTAGCATCATTTTCTTCAAGAAGATTTTTTATTTTCTTTTGCATTTCTTCAGTGACACGTTGGACAACTCAGTAGCATGTTAATTAGCTTCATGCTTTTGTACATTTTTTATTTTTCTTTCTGTTGTTGATTTTGTTTCATGGCTTTTCATTTAAGGGGTCGTATGGTAACCGTGTCATAGAGACCACCATATCGAGATGTGAAGGTACAATGCCATGTACATGTCTACTTGCAAATCATAGATGGACTCCCAATTAAACTGTTAAATATATCTTGACAATGGGATGCTGGCCTGTCTGCCATTGTCCATACCTACAGTGTCAGGATACACTTAAATAACAGATGACCTATAACTGTTTATGAAGGACTATACTATTGTAATAATACAAGTAAAATCAATGGAGACAAGGGATTTGGGGAGGCGTAAGGGAAATCCCAGAGCCTAAGGAATTGTATCATAAAATAATAATTTTTTTAAAAATATGCAAAACATTTGAAATGTTCACTACAAAGTGTGTGTGGCAAGGGGTGGGGGGAATTAGCCATGTGGGCTGTGGTCCAAGAGCAGGGAGAGAAACATCTCTGTCTTTCCTCCTGTGTCCCTAGGAGGAGTGGGGGAAAAGGCCCGCTGTTCCTTGCTGTCAGATCACAACACTGCCAGGGGATGTAGGGGATTCTATGTTGATGCCTCAGAGACCCTGGTGAGGGAAAGAATGCCCTACGGATGTGACTTGAACGGTAGGCCTGCGATTTCTGACCCTCATATAGTAGATTCCATCACTGGCCAGAGACCCTCCCTTCATCCTAATTACTCTGAGAGGCTGTCGGCTTCAATGCGCAAGTGATAATAAATTCCATCTTCCCCCCCATATAGGCTCTTTATTGTTCTTTCTGTTTAAGTTCTAAGGCCATTTAGCTGTCCATATCCATATCATAGTGTCCACAGACTTAAATGCTTCTTGTAGAATATAGCCTCAAATGTGGTTCAACCTGTTTTTCTTCCCACTCTTGGAAGAGGCACCTTAGATCTTCTGCTGGATTAGAGGAGCTGGCTCTCTTATCTTTCATGTGGCCTGGGTTTGTTCTTTACCCTTGCATGGAAGCAGCAACAAGGGTGGCCCAGTCTTGCAATATGTGCTCTGAGATCAGACCACACCTCTATGGAATGTTCCCTGATTGTGTGCAGTGGCCTAGTTGAGGAGTGCCCTAACCTCCCCCACTGAGCTGGTCCTCATATCTGAGTCTTGTGTGTGCCTGGTATAGCCTGCCTCTGTCCCAGCCTGCCGACAGCAGCCCAGCACTACCTCTTGCACTGTACCTCTTGGGTACAGTGGCCTAGTGAGGGAGACACCTGAAGAATTCCTACCTGGCTGTATGATAGGGGTTGAAGCAGCCTAACCCAGCCTGCCCCCTAGACCCAGCTCTCAAGCTTTCTGGTGGGTGCCTTGGTCTGGTCAGCCCATCCCCTGCTCTAACCTTCAAATGCACTGGCCAGTGCAATGGCCTGTGCCAGGAAGATCCTCCAAGGCCCCTTACCTGGTTTGCCCCCAGGCCTAGCTCTTCTTTGTGTTGATGGGTATAGCAACCTGACCCAGCCTACTCCCAGCCCTTGCTCTTGCACTTTCCCAGGGGGTGCAATGACCTTTTGGGGAAGACCTTCTAGAAGCCGCACCAGACTAGTTCCCAAACCTGGTTCTCATGTGTATTGGCAGGTGCAGTGGCTTGGTCTTGGGAGACCTTCTTGTCCCTCTATCCGACCCACTTTCTATCCCAAATTTCTTGCCTGTGGGTGCAGTTTCCAGGTCTGTGGAGGACCTTAGTAACCATTTTATATATCTCGAATAAGCCCTCAGTAGCCCCACTCCAACCTATCTCAAGTCTGGTGCATGGCAACACATGTGTGGTAAGCTCTCCCTTCCTCCACTCCTGGCTTTTTGCACTGTGTAGTGGTGGAAATAATAGGAGCAGAGCCATGTTTTTAAATTTTAGTTATTTATTTATTTGAGAATGGGAGAGAGAGAAAAAGAGAGAGAGTGGTAGTGAGAAAATCAAGCTCCAAACTATGGGTTCTCTTCCCAGTGGTCCACGATTTCCAAGGCTAGACCAGGCCAAAGCCACAAGCTGGGAACTCAATCCAGGTCTCCCTTGTGGGTGACAGCATTCCATTTACATGAGTGGTCACCATTGCCTCCAAGAATCTGCATTACCAGCAAACTTAAGCCAGGAGTCAGAGCTGAATGTCTAGCTCAGACACTCTAAAGTGGGATGCCGACATTTATACCAGTGTTTTAATTACTAGCCAAATGCTTACCTCTAAAGCTGGCTTACTTTCAGCTTTTTAAAAAAGGTTTATTTATCTTAAAGGCCATAATTACAGAGAGAGAGGAAGAGAGAGACTGAGAGAGATATTCCATCTACTGATTAACTCCCATTTGGCTGAAATGTCCAGGGATGGGTCAGACCATGGCCAGGAGACAGCACGTTCATCTAGGTCTCCCGCATGGTGACTGGGTTCTAAATGCTTGAGCTGTTTTTGGTTCTCGACTTCGGCCAGGCCCAGGCTGAGCCACAGGGACATCTGCAGAATGTATCAGTGGATAGGAGCACTCTCTTGCGTATGTTCACATTCTCTCTCTCTCTCTCATTAAAATTTTAAAAAGGGTGTGGACTTTGGAGTGATGCAGTTGTATTTGAACCTTATCTATATGTGCCCTTGGAAAAGACATAGAAAATAACTGAATGAGAAATTAAGATAGCTTTTGAATGCAAACAAGTGTTTTGTAGATAATGTGTCTTTGATTGGATGGCATTAACCTTATAGCTACCGAGCCTCTCATGACCATATTAGATTTTCTTCTTGCTTACAATTCACTTGTGCTCACATGCGCTGATAGAGAGAACTGAAAGCAAGCACAGAACCTGAGCTGGAAGGTGAAAACCAACCAAGTCAGTTGAGCATGTTAGAATAATTTGAGATTTTAAGCAAGATTTATGATGCTAAGAGTAATGTTTCAACAAGCGGATATGAA